GAGGAAGGGTTGTTTCTGGAGATTTTTCTAGGTCTAGAGTGGTGGAAACGCTCTCCAAGAAGGCTATAAGGGAATTAGTGTCAAGAGGTGCTGGTTCCAGTTCGTATCCTGGTGCTACAAAGCTCTATCTGCTAGTCAGAGCTCCATCTTCAGTCAGTCTGCCTCTGCATTTTATCCCCAAGCGTGACTTTAGATTCAGAAAGAAGGTTGTAGTCCCCTTTAAGCTGAGGTTTAAGTGCATTGGCACTGATGACAATCAAGATGGTGATGTAACTAATTTCACGGATTGCGCATTCCCGGAGGACATTATTTGGTTTCAATGTCGGCACGTAATCAAGGGCTTGGCTTGCAGGACATCTCCATCTGAAGAAGACTGATACTAGGTAGCATCTTTCTGCAGAAACTCACATTCTTACATTTGGAACACAAATTGTTATTAGGAACTGTAGTTCATATTCCACTCCCATAGTTTACATTTCTGCTTGCACACTGAAAAAGAACTATGCTTTGCTCTAATTCAAAAATCATACGAAGTATGTTACATGAGTTCTTTTCATGTTACATGAGTGACTTACCTAAAACATACAACTTCCTACTGATGATTTTACACAGCCAGTATCAACAGTTCAATGGTAAATTGGTAATGTACCAAATGGTGGTACCTTTTGATGGAAAGACGCATTCATGTTATCGGATAGTAAGAGGGCTGGTCCAACCCAAAACCCTCAGATTACTCAATTCGGATTGTCATAGTCACATAGATAAATATCTAAATGAAATAGAATAAAAGTTTGAAGCAATATTAAAAAGGAATTATAAGTAGAATGCTCAATATTTGGTCTTCTAGCTATCTTATGAGATAAAATTTGAGTTGAATAATCATATGTAGATGAAATAAATGCCAGTTTAAACGAGTTCCAAAAAACATTGATTTGATATATATGGAACATATTATAAACTTCATGCAATTAAAGAGTGAATAAGACGTTATTTTTAATATTAGGGAATATGAATGATATTATGAATCATTGATTCCAATTTTAGATGATGTTGATTTCATGAATCATTACGAGAGCCATAATATATGCAAGTATTTGGGGATCATCCATTTCAAGTTTAGAGATACCGATTTTTCATGTAAGATCATTTGTAAAGTTAGGGTATTAGGAATCCAAAATGTTAATGATGGAACTTTGAGACTTCTAACTTCTTACATTGGGGACTAATAGAGGTGGACTGGGCCAGGTCCGGGCCGGACTCTGGGTGGGGACTGGGCGGGCTACGGGTCCAAAATTATCCACCCCGATACCGGCCCGGGTTTGTACCGATATGGGGTCGGGTTGGGCCAAACAATATCATGCTTTTTTTTTGAATTCTTGACCTTTAGGCAGGACCGGTCCACTAAAATCAAAGCCCGATACCGCCTCCTTCATCCAGGTCGAGCCCCGAGCTTGGTCTTGGTCCCGACTCCCGATCAACCGAGTCGGGCCTTCACAGTAGCGGGCCTGGTAGGGTCCCGGGTCGGGCTGACCCGTCCTAGTCCACCCCTAATTATGGGTATTAAAACGAAGAATGAAATGGAGAGAGTCAAATGTTGGACAATCGGTTGGTTGATAGTCCGAAAAAAGGAAAACGCAGAACAATAAAGCGGGAAAGCATGGTGCTTTTTAAATGTAGAAACAATGGCATGGATATAACTTCAGGGGTTTGGCTGGATAAAAATATAACCCATTTAAGTTTGGACACAAAAGTGAGTCAAACACCCGTGTGCATCTTCCGCATCTCACGTTTCTTCTTCCCTTCCTGTACTTCTGCCCGTTCTTCTTCGCCTGCTTCTTCTTTCTACCCGGCCCACCGACCGCCTCTTTCTTCTTCGCCGCCCGCGTTCTTCCTCCGCCGCCTCCCTGCCGCTACTCTTCTCCTTCTCATTCTCCATCGGCTGCAATTGAAACCAAATGCCCCTCCGTCATCCGAGATCGATGGACGTGCCTCCACCGGAACCGTCGTCCTCGATGGGAAACGCCTTCGCCAGTGCCGGATCTGGCTTCGTCGGTAGATGATGACCCGTTTTTTGGGCCTCCGGTTCTACATTTGCTATATTCGGTGAAAACCACTCCGATTTGGATCAGCAAATGCCGGATACGCCGTCCTCGATGTCGGAGAGGGCATGAGGGAACGACAGGGGGTTAGGCTAGGGACATGGAGTACGGGGTTGAGGGCTAGATGAGGATCTGGTGTGTAGTGTTAGCTAGGGGCAGGGAGTGGGGGCTGGGTGGGGATCTGGTGCACGGGATATTGGCTGGGGGACTGAGGAGCTAGTGTGTGGGTTTTTACAGTTTGGTATGGGGCAAGGCCGACATCTATGGACGTGGTAAAGGTGGTAGCTGTGGGTCTGAAAGGGGCAGTGGTGGTGGGCAGTGCAAGGACGACAGCAGTGGATAGGGCAGCGGCGGTGGGGGACGTGCAGTGGTGGCAGTGGTGGCTTGGACTATGCAGCTAGAAAATTGTATTGTTGTTGTTGGGGGCGGCGTCATTGTGTCGGCGTCATTGTTGCCACGGCGGTCACCACCCGGAGGTAGTAGAGGATGTAAATGTATTCGTGTCACTATGACCAGAATTTGGGGCGGAAATGTCATTGCGGAGATGTCACTGTAGCCGGCGGCGGCGGTAGTGACACGGGTGGTGGCGGTGGCAATGACACGAGAAGTGGCGGTGACAGTTACATCTGACAGTGACATGGAAGTGGTGCAGTGACATGAATAAGCATCTTGGTCACATTTTTGTCTAAATATAAATGTGGTCACTTTTATGAAAATTAGCTTTAGTATAGTAATATTGGGGGCAAAACCCCTTAAATGTAGCCCACCGTCAACTCATGCTAAGAAAAATTCTTCTTAAAAGTAATATGTATTACTTTTTTATTTGTATTCCAAATTTTAAATAATTATATCTAAATTTATAAAATTTTATGATATTTTATACTACCTTCGTCCCGTTGAAAGATTTCCATGACAAAATGACATGATTATTCAGACAATATTTAGATAAGGTAGTTCAAGTGTATTTTGAGAAATAATTTTAATAGATGTATAACATAATGAGGTTAGTGTTGATAATTGTGATGTTATAAATGAATTATTTTTAATATTTAATGATTAATTTATCATTTAAGATTGTTTAATTATTTCCTAAAATGGAAATAAGAACTTTTATATGAGACGTCCAAAAAAGGAAAGTGAAACATTTCTATGAGACGGAGGGAGTATGACACCAATGTGGAATACATAAATTTTTTCAAAAATATGAAAGTTTCAATTTTTAGAGTTTTTCAGGCTGAGAAAAGACAACACATATGGTGCCTCCACAAATAATCAAAATTTAGTTGAACTCATTTTATTTTTTATTAATCGAAAAAAGAAAAAAAAAATTAATGAAATTTATATTTTTAATACTAAAATGTGTGTGATGGAGTATATGGACTCCAACTCCCCGGTCTGTCGACTATTGGGCCTGGACAGCGGCCCACACACGTTTAGCAGATATCATTCATATTATTGTACATTATTATTCAGATGTTCTAGATTAGCTTTTTATACTATCAGTCCATTTATGTAACTGGGTCTGTCAGGCTCATATTAGAGGCCCAAACCCGGATTTTCCCTATATATACTCCTTATAGGAGGCTTGTAAACCATAACTCATAGAACTCATAGTTCATATTCTATACACACTTATCTCTTTCTCCACATTCTTTGTTCAAATCTCTCCATGTTTATACAATATGGGTATCAATTATTCAACAGTGTGTTTTTAATTTCACGGTTATTTAGAAAAATTAATCATTTAATTAATTTTTACTTAATTGATATAACAACATTCAAGCCTTAATTCGAAAAGATTTTGGTGTTGACTAACATAAATTTTTTCATGATATCAATCTAAAAAGAGAAGACAAACAATGAAAAAAAATAAAGTAAGATAAAATGGATAAGATAAAGATAAATAAATATAAAATTAACAAAACATTAGAATATAAGAAAGATGAAAGATAAAATGATAAAAAGCATAAAAAGCTAGAGGATAAAAATAACATAAGAACATAAAAAGATAAAGAAGATAAACAACAAAAGCAAAAAAAAAAAAGCAAAGATAGAAAAGAGATCAATCGTCCACACGAATGTACGTTACTTTGCTCTCTCCAAAGCCATACTCTCATCCAACCCAAGATGACGCATATCAGTTCCGATTCCTCTAACCCAAGTCTATTTGGATTTCCCCTCCCTTTCCTCTCTGTCTCTTCTACCCACTCCTCAAGTCGTCTAAGAAGTGCATCACTCAGTCTTCTATGCACATGCCCAAACCACCGCAAATGAGATCTCTGCATCTTATCTTCTATAGGTGTTACTCCCACTTTTTGTCTGATTATCTCATTCCTCAAGTGGTCTTTTCTGGTATGTCCACACATCCAACGCAACTTACACATCTCTGCAACATTCATCTTTTGAATGTGACATTGTTTCACCGCCCAACATCTATGTCATACATTAATGCAGGTCTTTCGATAAAATTTACCTTTCAGTCTAGTAAGCATACCTCGATCGCATAGAAATCTTGATGCGCTCTTCCATTTCATCCACTCAACTCTAATTCTATGGGATACATCTTCATCTAATTTATCATCCTTCCAAATTATGGAGCCCAAAATTAACGAAACATACAGTAAAGATTCATTTGCATAAACACATTTACATTTGCTGAACTTTAGTATTTTGCACCCTACTTTTTTCTTTTTTTTTACTACAAATTACTTCAATTTTATTTTCAGTTATTACATTGGGCCTCAAATTTCTATTTGCACCTTTCAAATTTATTAGACAGCCTTGGAGAACATAGGATCTTTTGCTATATCACTATAATAATTGGAGCAAGAGTAAAGCAGTATTAATGAATAACTGTGTGTCTTTTGAAATACACTATTGCAGAGTACAAGTATGAAAGAATAACACAATTAATAAGAGTTATAAAAAATTAGTTTTGGAGTAATATATATTAATTAATTAATCCTAACTTCCAAGTAAGTATCATTTTCATTTACATTATTAATTAAATGGTCAATTTAAGTGTTTTCTTTTCCTTTTTAAATTGAACTTATTTCTTAATATTTATATGATAGATTGATTGATCCTTCAAGTTGTTCTCCATGTAGTGAGGATGAAGATAGATAAGAGTTGGATACATATAAAGAATCGATTATCACAAGAGTATTGGAAGGGTCTACAAGGTTTTATAGACTATGCAAAAGACTTCGTCAATGAAGAAGGAAAGATAAGTTGTCCTTGTAAGCGTTGTGTCAATGGAGAAATATTTCCACCGAAAGATGTTAGGAGACACATCTTTGAATGTGGGTTTGATGTGACATATGCACATTGGGTTTTTGATGGTGAGCCGCCAGAGTTACCATCACTTCCAAAGTCGAATGCAAAGTGTTATCCAGAGGATGAAAGGGCAGCAATACTGGATGACATTGTAGGGGAAACTCGTGAGCATGACTTAGGAGGTGTGACAACAAACAATATGGGAGATGAAGTGCATTCTCAATATGAAGATATGCCATCCGAGCTTCACGCCTATTTTTATCCAGGGTGCACCAAGGTTTCATCATTAATCTCTTTAGTGAAACTTATGCACTTAAAAGTAATCTATAAGTGGTCAAATGAGTGCATGGATTCAGTCCTAAAATTATTAAAAGATGTATTTCCTGATACTAATAAGTTACTCACTTCTTATTACTGAGTCAACAAAAAATATTGTAGTGACTAGTAACAAATGGTCTTGTTATAAAGTTTAAACTATTTATTTAATGCTCGTGTTATTTTACTCATTAATTATATACGGAGTATATTGTAATGAATATTACACAGGATGATCCATTAGCTGGTGAGCAATATTCAGCTTTTGAGAATCGGAAAGATCAGTGTTTGACTTTGGGGAGAACTAAAGAAGCACATAACAAATATGTAAGTATATGAAAAATATTTTGTTAATTGTAGTCTTAATTATATGTAATTATACTAATTATATCTTGATAGACTCAAATGAGCGAGGAGAGCCAGACACCGTTAGGACAGGTATGTTCATCTTCTTCAACAAATGAGTTTGAGATCATGAATCGTAAGTTGAAAAAGCATCGCAAATGTCAAAGTGGAATAGATCCTACACTATCTAAAGATGTAGGTGCAGCTCGGTGCGTTGAGGATGGTGCTACTTCTGCACTTCAAGATCATCGTGATGCTAGAATCATTGAATTGCAGCCTTTGCGATAATAAATGCCCTACAACAATTCATTCCTGGCTTTCAGTTGCCTCTGCGCATCTCCCGCAATGATATTCATTCAACATCAAGTGTTAATCTGAACGATGAGAGCCCTAATGAAAATAATATAGATTGATTATGTATCAAAATGAAGTTAGTAGTTGTTACTTTGTTAAGATGAACACAAATATATTTCTGCTTAAATTGTGATATTGCTGACATTAAGTCTTAGTGTCTTACCTTTATAACTAGTACTCCGTATTAGTTAGTAGACTTGGGTTAGTCCTGGACTCGGGCCGGGTGGCCCGGCCCGGGACCGGTACAGTGCTGAACCGGCCCGGTGGCCCGGTCAGTGACCGGTTCGGGTAGGCCCAGCCCGGTGGGTTCCCGGTGCGGGCTCGGGTCACCCAAAAGCCGAACCGGCCCGGCCGGTTCGGGCCCGGTTCCGGGCTTTTTATTTTTTATTTTTCCAATTTTTTTTTAACTTTTTGGGTTGGGCTGGGTATTTTGGGCCATTTGGGGTGGTTTGGGGGGGTTGGGGTGGGGGGGGGGGGGTTAATTAGGAAAAGGAAAAAAAAATTGACCCGAGGCCAGTCCCGGACCCGGTGGCTACCCGGGCCGGTCCCGGGCCCACCTATTCAGAACTAGCAGCCCGCCCGGGCCTAGGCCCGGCCCCGACCCGGCCCGAGTCCAGGACTGACTTGGGCACATGTTTAATTTTAGAAAGCATTGGTTGTGATTTTAATTTGTTTAGAGGGAGCAAATAGTTCACATAAAATGAATAGATGATGAGATTGTATTTTTCACATTGACATATAGAAGAAATAACTGTTTTGCATATTGTATAATACAAAAAAATATACTCTGTATATCATCTTTAAAACTTTGATCAATTATATATTTTGTTGAAAATTATTTATAATACAAAAATGGTATGACAATGTTCTTTGTTAAAAGTACTTTAATAAAAATGTAAAATTTAAACTTCCATAATATTATACGAAGTACGTACTTACATAGTATTAATCAAAATCATGGTCCAAATTTGAAACAAATTGTCATGTTTAAAGTATGGTAATGTCAAATTTGGCAGATTTTATTCTTATTTATGAAATAAAAATATGATTATCATATTTTGAAATTTTGAAATGTTTGAACTCTTATTTAGCGAATTTTCCTAATAGTTTTAGTGCAAAAAAAAAAACAATTAATATTTGTGTTGCATGATTTGGATGTAAAAAAATATGTGTCGAACAATTCGCAGACATTTTTGTGTTAGCATGTTCACACTAAAAGAGCTTATGCATCGATACAAAAATTGACGCAAAACATGCACATTGTTATAGTGATCACTGATCAGTCTATCACTGCAATTTAGTGGAAAACACAAACCCGAATTTCATAGTTAAATTTTCTATCAGTTCTATGGAATGGCTGTGCTGGGTCTTTTTTTTTTTTTTGAGAGAGGCTGTGCTGTGTCTATGATAATCTCTTCGTTCCAAATTGATTGGTAACCAACAGTTTTTTCAACCAAAGATAAAATTAAATTATCCGCATTGATAATAAATTAAATTTTTAATAATAAGAGTTTACATATTCAGAAACTACGTTACACTCTCTTCAAAGTTGCAAACTCCGAATGAGAATATAATTGAAAATTGGCATCCTAATTAAATGAATAAAATGAAATTATTTGACCAAGAGTAAAACATGGAGGAATTGTAAAAATAGGACTAGATTTTTAGTATTCTCCTAATAAGTGTATTTTATCAAGGTTAGACAAGGATACCCTTCCAGCTTTGGGCCAGCCACCGGCCGCCGGTCGATTTGCCGCCGCCAGATGCCAAAATTTGAATTCTTTGGCCACCAATATGACCCTTAATTATATTAAAGAATTATCAAAGCACCAAAGTCCAGGAAACTGATCTAGTACTCCACTTGCAATACTCCAGCCCTGTTTCGCAACCAGGTCCACCCCTAAGTGCAATGTTACATCTAAAAGGTACTAGTGTAATGTAAAGAGCCTTGCAATTAGGGGTGGACTCGGGCCGGTTCAGGCCCGGCCGGGCCTCGGTTCATGAAAGAGGAGGCCCGGAACCGGCCCGGGTAACCCCCGGATCCGGGCCGGGCCTCGGTTCAAATTAATTTTTTTTGGCTTTTCCTAATTAACCCCCAAGGCCCCAACCCTCCCCCCTCACCCCCAAACCACCTCAAATGGCCCAAAATACCCAGCCCAACCCAACCCAAAAAACATAAAATAAACTCAAAAAAAAAAGAAATAAAAATAAATTGGCCCGAACCGGCCGGGCCGGTTCACCTTTTCAGGGGCCCGAGCCCGGCCCAGAACCCCAGCGGGTCGGGCCTACCCGGACCGGCGGTTCGGGCCGGTTCAAACAGTGACCGGGCCGGGCCGGTTCCGGGCCGCCCGGCCCGAGTCCACCCCTACTTGCAATGAAACACAAGATTTTTGCAACAAGAATTACTTGTTTATAGTTAAATCATTGGATTCCGGAGCCCAGCCCAGCCCTAGTTAGATGTGTTACTATGACTTGCAGTATAAAAGTTGATGTATGTTAACTAATGGCAAACCAATGTTTAGACAATGCACAAACTGCAAAAGCCGAGCAAATGTAATGCATCAATGGTCACATTAAATACAATATAGCTAAACACAGTTGCAGTAAAATCATTCCATATGAATGTAAATTTGGCGTGCATAGATCATGTTAGGGATATGGTAATGATGTCAATGACGATGTCAAAATATGCAGTAATATATGCAGATGAGGTGGTTCATGGTTGGACCAATATGACTATTCAAAAGGAGGTTCCAAAGGGGAGTAGCATGTATGTATCACTTCTCGCACCCCATAACGGATTTAGCCTGCAAGTGGATTTGCATGTATTGTAACTCGACTTAATCTAATCTCAGCAAGTGGTCGATCCCCTGGTCCACATGGGGTCTGCACAATACCAATAACAGTTTAAACAGATTATTGCTGGGGGGGGCGCGATTAAAGATGCAATTGACTATGCCATACTTAACAAATATCAATATAACTAAAACCTCTTAGAATGGCTAATAAGGTCCAACGCTGAAACATAGCTTCTACATCATGCATGTGGGGATTTGTTTCAAACGCATAGATGATGGAACTATGTGTCAGTGTAGCAGTGAGGGAGTAGAAGAATAGAATAATATACCCTCTGTATGTTTATTAACTCAAATACAACATTAGCCTACGTATGCAGTAGGCCGCTACCCACTGGTAGCTTGTTCATTACAACGAACGGAATATTAAATCTCTGTCAGTCAACACGATATCAAAGCCTCTTCTGCAACCTATCTTATTCCACATTTGGAGTGAGAACAAAAGGCTTTAGCAAACTTCTGTTCTCTGGTATGCTTGGTCCTATTTGCTACTGATGGCTTCTCAGTAAAATTAGCATCTCACCATCAGTCATCACTCCCTGATTGTCACAACAACCATACACATAAATCCTGCTTGTCATCAGATTAGCAAGTAATCCAAATGCACTACTTAAAGACAAATCTAGCCTTTTTTCATATTTGCGCTTTCTTCTGTCGGTCAATTTAACCCAATGGAAATCTTCACCCTCCTGGAAGACGCTGTGGTGTTTTCCATGTGTCACCAGAGCAGCCATGGACTCTCAGTTACTTCGCCTACTATTTCCATTACACTTGTGTCTGTCCCTCTTTGGCATATGTCTCCAATCATGGGCAACATATACTACATTCCGGTTTCTCGAGTCATAGTTAAAACTGACTTGAAGTTAGAGGTGGGTCATGTCACAGGACATGTGGGAAGCAAAAGAACAAAGTATGGCTCAATACAAAGATTCAGTCTCAAAAGATTATGCTGGATTTTTAAAAGGCCCATAATTTTTCACTTTCGGTTTTCCGCGTAAATATTGTTCTATTATTTACTCATGTGCCATGGTAACGGGTCAAGTCATAAGAGCAACTAAAGCAAAGGAATAAAGGGTGAAGTGGCTATAGACTTGACTCAGGTAATGGTGCTGGATTCCAAAGCAATCCCATGGTTTTTTTCCTTTTGATCTTTGACATAAATATCAGTGTGTTCATTCACTGATTCACAAAAACATCCACACATGATTCATTATTTCATTATTTTATCTCAATATTACTCCAGTCCATCTCATTGCACCATATACTTGAATGATCTTTCTTAAGTAATGAAGGAGTAAAGAACTAAAATTCAGGACTAAGCATTGTAGTTATTTCTTAAAGCTGAGTTATTTACAAGGATTATTCCTCACATGAATACCACTAACATTACCCTATACAAATTGTAGTTTTACAGCCATATCAACCTTGTTCTTAGTAATCAATACACCCACCCATCCTAGGGCTGCTTCCTGGGATATAGTTCCACTAAAGCTAGACCTCATACAGAAATCCAGGAATGAGGAAAACTACAGTTCTGGCAAGAAATCTGGGAAGTTACCTTTTCCATGACGTCAAGGACATCAAACCCATGAATAACTTTTCCAAAGATAGTATACGATCCATTGAGATGAGGTTGCTTCACATAACTTATGAAGAACTGGCTACCATTTGTATTTGGACCACTGTTGGCCATTGATAATATACCTCTAGCATTATGCTGCAAAAAATCAAAATCGGTGTTTGTGATTTTTTGACAAGTTTGTGATCAAAACTACCTAAAAGTGCTTTTGTAGATAGAGTAACGTATCACTACCGTATAACTCAGGGCATGCCCGGTTAATGCTGCAATTTATATTTTAATTTGATAAATTGACTTAATCATCATCATCATCCCAGTGCCGCAAAGGGTCCAACCTACAGTAGGGTAAGGGGGTCGGATGTACGCAGTCTTACCCCTGTACTAAAGCACAGAGAGACAGAATTTGGATGACCCATGGTAAAAATCGCTTCAAAAATTGCATGGAATGACTACTGCTTCGTAACAAAGAAGCTCAGACAGTTTAGTGAACCACTTTGCTTTATTCTATCATATTCCCAAGCAAAGAAAATAGTGAATCTTTGGCTCCATTGCAAATGATGGAAAGAATTTCATAAATTTACTTAAAAGAAAATATTTATAAGATGCCTTTACAAGAACTACTTTTATCACTATTGAGTTAGAGTGTGTGTGCGCGGGCGCGCGTATCATGGCTCAAAAGGGACT